CATTCACCTAATCAACTTGGCGGTTTTCTGATTAAAAAGAGAAAAAAGTGGTATCGTCTTTGGATGCACTTTGTTTAGAACTAGTTTTCTATGAAGAATTGAGTTGGAATAGTTAGTTCTAGTCTCCTGTTTCCGTTTGTCAGCAGTCAAAGCTAGTTCCTAATTTTAGCCAGTTCTTTCCCGGGCTAATTTTTGGCTGCCAACCAAGTTAGGTTGAACAATGAAGGATCTACTCACCCTTGATCCCTCGAAACAAGATTTCACACACAGGGATACGGATATGGAATCTGTTAAGAATTGGGTTCCATCTTAAAAGGTCAACCTTATTAAGATGAGTAATACAATCCTTTATAAATTTATTTATATTTACATCTTTATTCGAGATGTGGGATTCTATTCCTTAATATGCCCTCGTAAGATGGTGGATCGTTTGAGTAAACCAATCTTGAAATCCGTATGCTCACTTGCACGCAACATTGTAAAATTGACAATTGTGAACAAATCGATATTGGGTTGCACCCAACATTGTAAAATTGGGCCTGCTCTGATACAATTTGTAACGACCCGGATCCCACTTAACGAGCTGTCACAACCATTAGATCGACGACGTACTGTCCCCACTGTACCAATATGGGTCTTTTCAGCATGCTTTATTCTCACTTGCACGCTCCCCAAGAAAACTTCCCAAGGGTTTACCCATCATAAAATTGCTCCAAGTCAAGCACGTTTAATTGTAGGGTTTCTAAAGATGGATTTCCTGAAAAGAAGGTACACCTTATTGGTATGAGTAGTATCTATCAAATATTTTTAAGCTTTCCTCATCTAGATATTACAATCACCCTCCATTAGACTCGCGACGTCCTCGCGCGCTTTATCCATCTAAAGATCTGTTGCCAGGCGTTGAGATTCTAGAGGTAGCTCCTACAGGTTCAAGAGGTGACTCTCGCACTATGGCGTAGTACTTTGTCCCGCATAGCACTTAGTTCCCGATTTCCAGCTAGCAACTGGGCTATCATACCATGTTAAAAATTGGGGTTCCATCTTAAAAGGCCAACCTTATTAAGAGGAGTAACACAATCTTTTATAAGTTGATTTATGTTTACATCTTTATTCGATGTAGGATTCTATCAGAATCAGTTTGGCAATTCCGTCCCTACTCGTCGGGAACATTTAGTTGACGAAGTAAGGAAGAACATAGTGGAGATTAAAATATTCTCATTTATCGCCTCCATTTAATTATTTATATCAAAAAATATAAGATAAAAAGATTTGAGATGAATTCAAGGAATTTGAGATAGGAACCATGTTCCTTGCCCCATCATGTTGGAAGGAGGAACTTTGCCCATCCTACATAGGGACGTGCCTGCTGAGTATAGGTAAATATCATTCGTGTTACTCAACTTGCAAAGAAATTCAATTGGTTACTAAATTTCAATTATCTCAATTTCAGCCACTGAACTTTAATTTAATTTCAATGTTACCACTTCGTCACTTTTCGTCACCTACCATTTTCCAAACAATCATTACACAACCCTCGAATCAAAAAAGGTAAAATAACGGTTACGACAATGTATTAAAATTAAACGGCAAATATGGTTTTTTTTATTATTATTATTATTATTATTTTAACACTTTTATGATGTTACATAATGGTGAAAGCGATTACGTGGGTAATTAGTTACAATATGAATTTGAGAGGCCGCAAGTGATGGGCGGATGAGAATTGGAATCAAATGACTCACTTAAAACTAAATTAAAATTGATCGATCCAGTAGAGACAAATTAGAAGTTCGAGTTGAGATTTCACTGAAAGCAGATGAAATTTACCCAATTTTGAAATATCTAGTTAAGTCAAATTTAGACCAAGTTGACCAATGTGTTTAGTCTGGCCTTATCAGGCTAAAAGAATGACTAGTTGATCAGACTCTATGGGACATAACATCGAATGCTCCAATACAATAGTCATCTTCCGCTAAATGTGTCATATACTAATTATCTTCTTGTATTCAATTGCAAGTTATGTCCTGTATCAATTATCTTTTTGTGCCTAGCATCAATATGTTTTCTAAGCCTAAAATAATTGGACATATAGATCCATAATTACAATAGTTGGCTCTAGCTGTGACAAAAAAGTTCAGAGGCTAGGACGGCTCGGGCTCGACTCGAAAAAAGCCCGAGCCGCACTTTGGGGAGTCGGCTCGAGCCCGAGCCGGCCCGTGGCTCAGGCGAGTCACCTATTTTGAAAAAAAAAAATTTGTGGAAATTACACCCTCCCCTACTTTTGAAAATTCAAATTCCAAAATCATATTTCATTTTTTTTCTTTTTCAAAAGTCAGATGCTTTTAATATAGATACATGTTTTTTATATTTAATTAAATTTTAATAATAATATTATAAAACCTAAATTATAAAAAATCAGATTTCACCGTCTTCTCTCCTCCCTCCCCCTTCTGCTGATGGCCCTAATTCGCAGCAACGTCGCGA